TCCTGATTTTCAGTGCTCTGACCACTGGAGACAGGATCTTTACACCAACTGGGTTTTTTTTTAGACTTCTCTGAGCTCATTCTTCATTCCCAACAGTGCTTGTGGAAATGTTCTAATAGGAAAAGCATTTCCTACTGCTCACCTACTGCAAACATGATCATTGAGAAGGAAAACAAAGCTCATCTGAGCCAGAAAGGAGATAGCAGCACGAGGGCATCCAAGGCAATACAAAGGCAGAAAAAAACCCACTTCTGTCAGAAATAGCCTTGTATTTTTAACTCAGACGTTCAGCCAGAAACCAAACAAAAGTCATGCTCCATCCAAGAGCAAGGCAAAAAGCATTCCTCAGGACTGTAGCTGTGAGTACATAGGCTGTGTCTAAGAAAAGGCCCCATGGGACATTGCCAACCACCAGTGACCTCGTGATAGTACACATGGGGTTTTGGTGAACGTCCATGAAAGAGCAAGTGTAGACGTCTGCACTCCAGTCACGGGAGGTGCCCGTCAGGTACCTGGGCTACATGATGGTTCCTGGCTCTGATGGAAGTGTGCAAGCAGGCGAGGGACACGCTGCTCCTCCCACCCTTCAGGGGATGGGGGACCAGGCAGGAGGGATGCAAAGCCCAGGGTTTGCTCTTGCAGAGGGGCAGCTCAGGCTCTAGCTGACTGCTGCAGTCTGATTCTTTCACCAGCTCTTCTCCCAGGGCCTCTGCCCTGTGTGCCCTGGCTTTGCAGTGTGTGCGTGTTAGCTCTCCACTTGCTCTGGATTTGGGAGCTGAATCCTGAGGGTATGTTTTTAGTTCAGTTCCCAGGCATGCCTGGTGCACATGGTAGTGAAACAGCGTAGAGTGAATTCAACAGGATCTGCAGAGCAGCAGTGTGCGGAAAAAAATGACATCATCTTCCTTGTAGACACTAAAGAGAAAATAGATCAATGCACTCCACAGTGCTCTTGGCTGGAGAAGGGTGGCTGCCTGTCTTATGTTTTAAAGAATGCCCCTGATTTGGTATCTAATGGACCATAGTCCATATCCCATAAAAATGACAGTGACAAGTGTTTTATTGGAATTTTCTTCAGGCCAGTAGATATGTAGAGTTATGTAGCACGATTGGGGTTGTGGTCTTTGTAGGCAGATGCTCTGAATGGCAGAGAGAAGTTTGCTTGGCAAAATGCAGGTGGGCCACCAAAGCCTCCCAGCATTGCTCTCGGTGGGGCATCCTGCCATCCTTCCTTGCCAAGGAGGCCAGGGCCCCCAACTAGGTTTTGCCGCTGCCTGTGCACCCACAAAGTGAAGGCAGGCGCATTTATATCCCCTTCCCTAAAGTCTTCTGAAACACCCTCAGAAATCCAGGAGCTCCCCAGAAACCAGAGCTGGAGAGGCTCAGGAGTCATTTGAAATTCTGCCCTGGTCCCTGCCATGCCTGGCGGTGCTGCGCGCGTGCTGTTTGTCCAGGCGTAGGAATAAATGGTCCATCACCCCTGTCGCAGGCAGCAGAGCCCTGCTAGCATGTGGCTTGCACCAGCTGGTTGTCTTCAGACTGTGCCTTGTCACACATGAAATACCCTCCAGAAAGGGCTCTTTTGCCAGGAGAGTGTCTCTGCAGTGTGTTCTGGTGGACGAGGCTGGGTCACTTCAGGTGAGTTTTGTTTTGTGTTGGTGCTCCCAGCTGACAGTTAGGCCAGCCTGACTTTGTAGCGTAGGCTAGACCTCAGAACATTTGAAGTCAATGTCGTCTTGCAGGTACTTGCCAAAACCGAAACAACCCATTGCCTCATGTGTTTGTCCCCGTCTGTCAGCGGGCTGCCAGGGCCACATCGGTCTGTTGTATGGGAGTGCAGGTGGGCTTTTTTGAAAAGCTGTAATTCCCATCCATGTGAGAATTTTTAAATCAAATGTAGCAAACCCCACCCAAGATGGGGGAGAAGCTTTCCTTGGTCAAGCTGTTCAGACAAGAATCCCACCAGATTCCTCATTTTCTGAATGCTCAAAGCAAAAGTCCTCTTTAATCCACCAGTAAACAGCAAGTCCTTAATTAGAGGTGAGCTCTAATGGTTGATTTAAGGTGCTTTTATTGGATGCCGCAATACCCGCTGTCCCATCAGAAGGCGTGAACACAGACTGCGCACGCAGTCCTGCGTGCTGCTCTCCCACGGTCGTTTTGCAGAGGGGAACAGAGGCTCTGTGCGGGGATGCTCAGGAAAAAACTCATCCCAGGACTCCCAGGCCCCAAGCCGAGTGCTGTAATCTCTGGATAAGTCCTGCTGTCCACACAGCCACCGACCTCCTTCCCAAGGGGCCTTCCTGCAGCAGGCAGCTCCCTGGGACGGGGAGGTCCCGCGGGTGCGGTGCCTGAGTCAGAGCTCCCGGGTTCGCTGCCCATCTCTGCCACCGACTGCCTCTTGTTTACCTCCCTCTTCCCCATCTGTGTGATGGGGTAATGCTGCTTCCCTGCCTACCCTGGGGAGGTTACAGAGGCGTGATGATGGCTGTAAAGTTGTTTGAGCTTTGGATGGCAGGAGCTGGGGTGGTGTTATTAGCATTGGTGATGATGATGCTAATTACTGAGCTGCTGGGAAACTCCCCATGGGAGGAGGCGGGAGAGGGGAGGGGAGGCAGGGAAAAGTGAAGGGAGGCAAAGTGAGCTCGGGGATGGAGAGGAGCCTGTCCGTGCTGGCAGTTCTGTCGGGCCCTGGGAGAAGGGCTCAGCCTGTTGGCAAAGCTGTGGGGATGCTGGGATGGATAGGAGAAGCCATGGCCCAGGTGCTGCGTAAGGTAGGAGAGCGTGCCAGGGCCTGCAGCAGGTCCCTCCATGCGGCTTAGACCTTCCTGCCTTTGCTGTGCAAGATGCTGGTGTTGCACCCGATGGAGAGCTCACGCAGGAGGGTCGCGCCACTGGCGGGGCAGAGAGACGGGCTTCCTTACCCCTCCCGTGGCCCCGTGAAGTTGGGGAATTTCCCAGCCATGGCTGGTGTCGACAGGAGGAGAGGGACCAGCACTGCCTGGGTCTGGGGGACGGGCAAGGGCAGGGTCCTCTTCACCTTTGAGGTCAGCTCTGGAGCTCCCATGGGAATACTCAGGGCTGTGAGTGCCTGGTTCTCCACAGGCAGAGCAAAGGTGGGTTTGGTCTGGGAGAAGCTGGTGAGGGTGAGATGCGTTTGGTGTCATTTTCTCTCTGTTGCAGCAGAGCCCTGAGCAAAAGTAGCCGCCTTAGAGCTCAGTCCCTGTGCCTGCAGTTGCGGGTGGCCAGATCCGAGTGCTCCCTGGGCCTCGTGCACCGCACACCTGAATTTTCTCTCTTTTCAAAGTAACATCAAAGCAGAAGGTTTTGTACCACATGAAGCTTGCAGACATCAAAGGCTTGCTCATAAATTTAACCCCTCTGCTCCGCTGTGGGGATGGTCATAACGCTCCAGCTCTTGATTGACTTGGTAACAGCTGTATTTTA